CTACCGATTGTACACAGGAAATTCTGAAAATGTTTCACAAGAATTTTGTCAAAAAGAATAGGATAAATAAACACAATCTTGAGCAGTTCTCTGTTGATTGAATTGGCGTCATGGAAAAACACATCTAAATATTAAATGGGCACTGGCTTTTAAGTATATTATTTTAATGAAATATAGATGGATCGTGAGTAGAAATGTAATATCAAATAATCTCCCGGGGAAACTTTTTATTCGGAGACACAGTTTCCTTTTGTAAGTCAATACACACTTCCCTATACCAACTTCTAATTTCCACACCTCGGCAATTACATTATGAACACAATAACTTTGAGTACATTCATATTACACATTGTTTTAACCCAGGAAAACCAAAATTGGTATCATAGACAAAAGACAGTCGCAAATAAGACGATTTGACAGAGGCGAAAAATAACTCTCTTTCTCAGCCACCGTTTTGTATAGTGTAACTGGAAATTGAGTTGAAGACAAAATTAACTTCAACAATGCAAGTATTCGACCAGAAGCAGCTGAGAACAAGAGCATTATATCAGATTCATATAGATATTAACGGATATTAGACCATGCCTCTCGCATCGTCAGGCGGGTTAAAACCCAAAACCTCTTCAGATCGTATTTCAGAATGTTCAGTGGTCAACTTTGAAATCAGGCTTGCAATTCACATCACCTCATCGGATTCATCTCAGTCGACAACTGCTTGTTTATGCTCGGGTCGGCGACCAGATGAAATTTTGCTAGAAAGCGGAACATGAGCAGCTGTGATTATAGCGGTTCATCAGTCGCCTATGTACTCATTTCGACGAAAGCTAACGATCAGATTCTATTTACCTAATGCTACTGTTAGCATTCATTGAAAGCTCAGTTGCTGTAAAATTCTGCTGTCTGCAAAGTCTGATGACTCCCTTTAAATGCTTGCAATATGTTGCAGATAGTCTGATTAAAAGCAAACACACTTATTAGACCTACAGGTGGTATAGCAGGCTATGGTTTTAATTTGAAAAATTCGATATTTAGAATCTGGTATTAATTTAAAATCACACATAATCTATGGGTTAAAAAATTCATAATATGGTGATAATGTTTTACAGGAAGCTATGTTTACGTAAATAACACATAAGGTAGAAATATACTGTAAACAGGTTAAAATATGGTTTTCTATGTTTATTAAAGTTCTACTTTAGCTACTATAACTATATAAAAGCTGTAATTGCACCATATAACCATATTCACTCTAAAAGGACAGAGAATGACATCCACGAGTAATGGAGAGGTGGAAAATTGTACTTAAATGCTCTTAATGGCTCTTCAGAGTTATACCTATAAGCAAAGGTCATTAACAATGAAAACCATCTAGAATGCGATTATTTCCGGTGGAAAAGTGGTCACCTGATACACAAGTAAATATATCTGGTCATTAATTTATTAAGGATAATGTGTGTTTCACAGACAACAAAGCAAATATGAAATAACATGATCTACAAACATCATCATTCATACTTTATATTCACATTTTCAGGAACAATCGGGATAAACCAAGTAGAATTCTGACACCAGGATAATATTATCACGCATCAATCTACAGTTTGATAGTCAGTGCGGCGGAGAATGATTAGAATCCCTATCAACCAATCAACATTCTACATAACACGTGTTGCACAGACAAATTTAACGTAAATGTACAAGAGGGGTAGGGTTTATGATTTAATGTATGATTAATTTAGTTTGTACACAGTTTTATGACTGTTAAGGTACAAGAATAAAAATGGAGTGGTGAAATGAAGATTAATAAAATAATTCACAAGGTGGGAAAATGACGCACTATTCGCTATTTTTAAGCGGGTTCCATCTGTCGTTTTCTGAATAGCTGAGAAAAACCAGTTTTGAAAATTCTAAAAAGGGAAAAGTTTGATGAAAAACGTTACCTCAATGTCCGACATCATCAAAAACAAGCTATAAAAATCTCTGAGGAGAAGTGAAATCCACATTAATCTAGTTGTTGTATAGTCACAAAACACCATAGTAGATTGAACGTTCTACAAAATCAACATTTTATAGTATTTTGTTGAAGCACCATAGGGATTGTTAATGTATCTGTGAATAGACTATTTAATATATTAATTGAATTTTACTGAGGTAAACTGTTATCATATTAATGATATGATTTGATAATATTGATAAATTGATTACTTCGTTTTAAACAACGTTTGTCCAGCCTTCCTATGTCAAAAACAACCAAAAAATCTCCATTACTCTAGGAGGAGTCCTTTTAGAGTGAATATGGTTATATTTAAACATAGATTGTAAAATGTTAATACCTAACTATTTAACTTTTTGTAAAAAACTTTGTGAGATTTCAAAAATATTCATGTTCAGGTTAGACAAATTTGATGAAAATGTACAACTGAAATGTAAGAGTTGAAGAGATTATGATTTAAGATATGATTAATTAAGTTTGTGCGGATGTGATATGACTGAGGAAGAAGAATAAACATGGAGTGGTGAAATGAAGTTTACGTCACGCATGTAACAACCACATTGTATTATGTATATATGTATAGGTATTGGTTCTGGAGAAGATTTCTTTCCAGAATAAATCTTTCTATAGGGCTTTCTAAAATATAACATGCATTCTGTGTTTGATATTGATTGTTATACAGAATATCTTCTTTGAAAGAAAAGTAAAAACTTACAGTCAATCATTCATTATTCCTGCCACATAATACATAGATCCCCTTATCTGTACATCACTCAGTAGTTTAATGTCTTACGATTACATGTCGTTTATTACGTACAGTCAATAATAACAAAAACATGGTGTCAGTGGGCTTACAGTTGACGTAATGAACATATTGAAACCATATACGATAGAAAAAAAAACGTCAACTACAATTGTTTAAAGTCATAAAATGTGACATATTTAAGACAGGAGACATATTAACGACTTCAATTTGTAGAAGTCAGCAATTGTCATATAGTAAAACTCATCTGTTATTTTGTAAATTTCATACTTGATAGAGATTTAATAAAGATAGTGGATCATGCCCAGTAAAGTGATCCTATATGCTCTGCACAGCAATTTTCCACTTCAGAATGTTTTGGATGTTTATATTAGTACGGATACAGTCATGTAGACAATCAACAATAAGATGCCTGTGTCTGATATGTCGGCTGGTGTATGCTCTCAATTAAAACGCTTTGTCTATTTTCTTATCGATCCAAAAATGATTGAGCTACGTTGGATCTTCTCTAATCGAGCAGCCGAAGGGGAAAATTTCAACCAACTTCTGACTAACTGTGCTTACACATTCGTTGGGCACATGACATATCCATAAAAGCTCGCCTGTGCTACCTAGCACCAACTGCATTTGGCTTGACATTCGATGCAAACGTGATGCTAAGGAAAGTGCAGCTGTCGCAAAAACAATATACCGTGAACACAGCTTGCAGGATGCTTTAGGTTTTCAGCTCCAACAACATAACTATCAAAACAGCGATAACTTGCCTCATGATCTTCACAAAATAATAATATACTTTATATCCATTGTTAAAACCACTAAATGAAAGCCAGGCATTAATAAGTTTGACTCTTCCTGTTCAAACGATTAAGGTTGCTGGACTTTGATTGAACAATATATTCATTTAAGATTTGTTTGTTTGTGTGTAAATTGTGTAATCATGCATTTTGGAATTTGGCTTGTAAAGCAGATATATAACACAAATTTGATGATTCTATTAGATTTGGACACTACATTTGTATCACATGAAATCGCGAAAATATCACATTATTAGTGTTCCGCGACCACCCTACCTGTGCACCGTACCGTTGCTTAAGAAGCATTTTGGGGTGCGGGGATGTGACACTTTTGAACAACGCAAATAATATACCTCTGTGGTTAAAATTCATAACATTAGGGCTATTGAGAGTCTGAGTATCAATCTGTTCTATTAGTGTAAAGTTATTTAATATTTTCCACCTAGAAAATTGTCAGAGACCAAGTGTTTCTATCTTTTCTGATTTGACTGCTAATAAACTAAGTGGGTTTGAGGATGTAAATGTTCAAAGAGGTAGTGGTTCTTGAAATTTCATCGAAAAATTGTCAACTTCGCATTTGTTCCAGACAAGTAGTCACTAGTAGGTTCACAAACACATTTTGACGTCAAGGGCCTTGACTCAAAAACCGTTCATCAAAAAAAAAAAAAATCGTACTTGACCATATGATCAATATAAATGATCACACCAAATTTCAGTAATCAGATAAAAACTGTAGTCTCTATTGTGTTCACAAACAAATTGTTACACGATTTTCTAAAGTTAAGGGCAATAACTCCAAAACCGTTCATCAAAAAATCAATAAATTCGCACTTGATCATGATATTATCAATATATATAATCACACCAAATTTCGGTAATCAGATAAAAACTCTAGTTTCTGTTGTGTTCAAAATCAAATAGTTACGCGATTTTCTAAAGTCAAGGGAAATAACTCAAAAACCGTTCATCAAAAAATCAATAAATTCGCACTTGATCATGATATCATCAAAATAAATGATCACACCAAATTTCATCAAAAACAGTTTAAAACTGTAGCCTCTATTTTGTTAACAAACAATATAAATGATCACACCAAATTTCATTAAAATCAGATAGAAACTGTAGTCTATTTTGTGTTCACAAGATATGTTGACGGACCAATGGACCAGTGGACAGGGCAACTGCAATGTATGTCCACATTTACTTTTGGGCGTCTAATAATGTATAAGGTATATTTGAAGTAGAATAAAGATAGGGTTTATACACGGATGTATGTAAAATATCATTATCATCTTATTTGTACCCTTAACCTATATAACGACAACTACACCTTTTATATGACCATTTAATTGGGGACATACGTATTATGTATATTTATACTTCAACATAATTGCTATACCCAAAGTATTCGTTGGGATGCTTTAAAAATTGCCTTGTTTTTGAAGGGAAGATGACAAGTAAAAATATGTGTATTTCTATAAGATTCCGTCTCAAAACGTTTATCTCAGTATTCATTGTGTTGGTTTTTATATCGTGTTGGATTATGACTGGGCAAAGCAGATGGTTTAAGATTTCTCTGGTAGAAGTTTTTTCGGATTCAAAATACAAGTATGTTACTGAAATAGATTTCAATTTCACTGTAATTTTGTAAAGAATTTTCAATTAAATGCAGCCTATGTTTATCAAAAATATTACTTAATTTAAACCAATGCTATGGCATAAAGCCAAATTACTGATAAACAAAATTTTAATTTTTAAATGAATATTATTTATTTCTATTCATTTCTTTCAGATTGTCAAATGGTAAAGATAGTTATAAGATAGGCAAATGGGTAGCGAAAGGTATCTTAGATAAGAAAATGTTTGACGTATTGACAATGATATCCTCCGGAACCTCACAAATATATATTAATGAAAATATGGTTGTAAAAACAGCTGTAAACAAATACTCAAATGGACAAGAATATCGAGGCACATCATCGTATTTCAGTGCTAAAGACTATAATATTGGTAATAATTGGATACCAACGTCTCTAGAAGCATCCAACGTATCAATATTTACTAATTTTGTTAATGATGGAAGAACAGCAGTGGATGAAAGAGCCCCGCCGATAACCTTACCAAATGGAGTTATGTCATATTTCACTGTGAACAATACCATATTTCTACGGCCAGCGTTCTGGAGTTTGGTTTTATTAACTGACATATCTGAATCATGTCAGAAATGGCTTTGTTTCGTTCACCAGCGTCTGTTATGGGAAATAGACGAACATATTGGTCTCTCATCGAACAACAAGTCTTCAATTAGTTCCATTTTACCTCATATGAAAAGGTGGATACAGAAAATGAATAAGTGGGAATGCCCTCCAATATTATCTTTCTTTGAATGTGTTTTTCTGATTCATAAGCAATATCCAGAACCTTGTGGAAAGTTAACACATCAAATTATAAAGGATTGGCTGTACGATTTATCAAGTGTTGGTTATCAAGAGCCAAGAAGACAAACAAGGAGAAATTATACAAAACCAAATGTTTACTTTACACCACGCCTTAACAACTTCAACCAAACTTCCACCGTGCTATTTACTCATAAGTTCAACAGTATAAGAAAATTGTGTAAAAGATATCCCTCAAAATTTGTGGAGTATGACAAGAAAATCGAACTAAAGGTTTGTGACAATGTGGTTCTTCTTATAGTGTTTAATAAACCATTTTATGATAATATTCCCAAACTACAATTGACATACTCAACAGTATTTTCTAGAATTGTTTATTGTGGCTCAAATATGCCTGCTTTCAATAAGAGCTCAAAATCATTTTCAGAAAATGTTACTTTTATTGCCATTAATGATATTGGTGCGGGAAGTTACAATTATATTTGTATGGCCAAAGTTATGGAAATAAACTTCAAAGTAGATGGATATTTATTCATTGGAGATGATACATTACTAAATACAAGACAATTGGACGCATATCCTCTGAATAAACCTATGATAGTTGGATTAGATCCCTTTCGACGCAGTTGGAAATCTCATAAATGGCCTAATTGGAATAAAAATTGGGGTCGATCGGCATTCTTATCCGCATGGAAAGAATTAGAAGATATCGCTAATAAATCATTAGAGTTTTCTCAAAGATTTACATATTTCACGAATAATTTATATAACAATTCAGGATTTAACGATGGATTACAAACTTCTGCTGTTGATTTTTTTTACATTCCTTCAAAATATCAAAATGATTTTATATTTTATTTCAACCTATTTTTCAAACATAAAGTGTATTTAGAAATAGCAGTGGCTACTATTATTTCCGGTGTTATTCCAAAATCTGACATTATATTGAGTCGTGGTAAATATCTATGGTCAGTGAAAGATCGTCAGAACTATGAACAATTTTATAATAATGAACTTCTTTATTTACATCCTGTCAAATTTAATCGTGAATTCAAATCAGACAAGGGATTGAAGTTTTTCTGTGAGATATATTTCCCTTACCAGTTTTATGGATAGCGATTTATTTCCCCTGTTTTCGGCATTGTGTATAGATTGATGACTTGTTCATTTTTTCTTTTAGGATTAAATAAAGCAAGAATGGGTCCTATCAATTTTTGATGCTTAGGATAGGCCTACATTTCAGAGATTAACAGTCTCGACTACGAGCGGTTGCCTGGAAGTACTTTAAGTCATACTCTAAAAATGTATTTTGAAGGTTTATAACATGGTGGTAATCAAAGAAAATTACATTTCATCTCTGTCAATTTTGGTGATGTGACAAAGTAAGCGTTGATACCGATTTTTATTTTGAGTTAATTGTCATGTGGTCGTATGTCATGTATGGTTATCTTTAGGCCTACTTCTCGATGACCCTTTATCTTTTATCAGTATTCAAAGGTTAACAATACATGTATGTCTATATTCAAATGCTCCTATGCACACGTCTTTAAACAAACGTGCCGAACTTGACTCTAAGACAAAATAACACGAGCATAAGTTCTACTTGTCAAACTGGCTGGACGCAGGCTGGAAGAAAGGACAGTTCTGTTGTCTGAAGATCGCATAGCGTGAAACTCTGAGTAACAACATATTCAAGTTCTGTTTTAATATTTTTGTATGGCTCTACAAATTGATGTATTGAGCACTATATTAACAGTGAAAATCTTCTTATAGTTTATATTTTCATATAGGTCAATATATAATAAATCTCTTACAGGTTTCTTCGTCCTTTACTGTTCGTAAAGAGCAATAAATCCCCAAACAATATAGGCCTAGTAAAATTAAATAAGTGCATGAATGATATAACTTGCTAGACAAGAATACAGTTAAATATACGACATTTGCAGATTCTACGTATCTTGTTCAACTAGATAATATAATGTGTCAAGATGACATTGAGCCCCCACGTAAAGCATAGTCTCTTAATATCAATCAGGTACAAATACATCTGTCCAAAACGATGAACGAATGATGGTCGTGGGTTCTAATCACGGAGGACATGATAGAGTATGGTTTTACTTGGTTACTTATGATGGTGTTTTGATTGTTCGTGATGTAGAACTGTAGTATAACCGAAATACCCACTGTTGTAAAAATTGGCTAACTGAAAGTTTTTTGATTGCTTTGGTAATTTAGTGAATCATACATATCACAACCTAGTGTAAGTTACTTCCCTTGAAATATTAAATTTGGTGTCTGATTGGGTAGTGTATAATCCGAAGATCGAAGATCGCAGACCTGTATAATCCGAAGATCGCAGACCCCAACTATAATCCGCAGACCCCCTATACTATATTCGGCAGACCCAACTATAATCCGCAGACCCCCTATACTATTTCGGCAGACCCAACTATATTCGGCAGACCCCCTATACTATATTCGGCAGACCCCAACTATATTCGGCAGACCCCCTATACTATATTCGGCAGACCCAACTATAATCCGCAGACCCCCTATACTATATTCGATAGACCCAACTATAATCCGCAGACCCCCTATATTATATCCCCCCCCCCCCCCCTTCATTTTTTTTAAATCTTCACACTTTCAGAATTTCTTTCTTATTTACAACATTAGGTGCCTGAATGGTTAACATGTAGTACAATGTTTCAAGGTCACAGTAAGTTGACTTCATGTCCAAAGCTTTGAATTCGATTGATCTTTGACTTCAAAGGACTGACTCGGCATTACTATAACGAAAATTTCATCAGCTGGTTCATATATTGCCCTTATTCACTGGGCTTTATAGAATATAAGCTCCTTTCACACACTCTGTGCATGTATTACATAAATTAAATGATATATTCTTCAGTTGTAAATTTGATTCTCCTGAGAGAGGGTTTCCAATATTTCATACATGTTTAGAATACCTGCCCGAATTTCTGTAAAGGAGAATAAGGAACTGAGTAAATTTTCAAATTTTAAATGGAAAGACATTTCAAATTTAGAAGAAATTGGTAGTGGCGCCTTTGGCACGGTGTTTAAAGCATCGCATGACGAGAACGTTGTAGTTGTAAAAAAAATTCTCGGGGAAGGTGAATTCTACAAAAGCCGACTTAAAAGAGTGTTCTCTGTTGGATTCCGTCAAACATCAGCATGTTTCAACTTTTCTCAGTGTTTGTGATGATCCTATGGCGATCATGTTCGGATACGAAGCATTCAGTTTTGATCCCTTTGGGGTGAACAAAACAGTGAACAATTTGCTTCAGTGGATCAATTTTGTGGACACCTTAGATGATCCCTCGGATTTCCACCAACTTCTGGAAAAAATTGTCAAAGATATTTGTGAAGGTGTTTCTTACTTGCATTCCAAGTAGGTAGTCCATCGTGATATGAAACCGACAAACATCCTCGTTTCAAACATACATTATTCAACAATTGATCCAGAGTCTCATGATTTTTGCCATCATTTCATGAATTGGCCAATAGTCTGCAAAGTTACTGACTTCGGTGAAAGTAGATCAGATATCGTCGGAACTAACTCTCTTATCCATGCAACACGCACAAGTAATCTGGACAGGGGTTCTGTTCCATACATGGCACCTGAAATAGTTGTGCCCAAATGGAAACTAAAGGTCGGAGCTTCCTTAGAGGAGCTGATGAAAATTGACATTTGGGCAACAGATTATGGTTTTTGGAAACTGTACAATGTAATTTCCACTAATTTTGAACCCTCCTCATTTCCAACATCCAAGGATGTCAACCCAAAGCGGTGGAGAAACGAGAGTGGGGAGGGAGGCATAGCATGGAAATGCCCAAATTGTGATGGATGGCATGTTGATATACTTTGCAAGTAAAAACGTAATAGGTGGAGATTACAATGTTTTGTACATACCTCTGGATGTCTAGATGATTTCATCCCTAAGTCTAATTATCGTATATCCAAACATTGCTTCAAAAAATGGCTTCAAAAAATAAAAAAAAGTAGGCCCCCTATATGGGGTCTGCCGAATATAGTATAGGGGGTCTGCGGATTATAGATGGGTCTGCCGAATATAGTATAGGGGGTCTGCGGATTATAGTTGGGGTCTGCGATCTTCGATCTTCGGATTATACACTACCGTCTGATTGTGACATTTTAACAGTTTTGGTATGTCACTATTTTGCAAAGAAAGCTTCATTTGCTTCCTTCCTTCCCTTCATATAGTGAAATTATATTCTTGTATCCTTGAATACTCTATGCATTTGCAACTTACTGCGTAATGATGTCAGGCTTTAAAGGCTAGTGCACACGAGAGCTCCCAGCTGAGCAATATTTCATTCGTGTCTCCCAGCTCAGCTCGCAGCTTTCGTCGGTTTCCCCCGCACACGCTAAGATTAGAGCTTTCGTAAACGGGGTGTCGAGTCGTAGACGTCTAAAAATAACTAGATCACGTGACATTCTCACATGACTTAAACAAAATGTCGGACGTCGACAACCCTTCGAATGATTCAGAATATGAAGAAAGTTTACTTCTTCTTTTGTTGTTGCGTCGTCGCCGACAAAGAATACTTGCAAGCTCTTGTAAGCTATGGATACGCCAAAGGATTCAAAGACGCCAAAGATACAAACTCGCATTAACCGATGGGCACAGCCATTTTTGTTCGATCACGTGCTAGCGCATGCGCCCCAGTTCAAAGTTGAAAGCTAAGAGCTTTCGAGTGCGCACACGGTAAGGTATTTTTCATTTGAGATAATTTCCTTAACGCCTCGAATGAAAAAAACCTTACGTAAACTCCGCGCACACGAGAGCTATGAGCTGAGCTGAGAGGCACGAATGAAATTTTGCTCAGCTGGGAGCTCTCGTGTGCGCTAGCCTTAACATCAAATTCATCTAGATATGATATTCAAATATTTATTCTTTAAAATATAAATAACAAAGGTTATTATAAAATATCACAGTAACTATGCTCATATAAGAGTGTGACCTGGCACATGTACATCTAATGGTTGGCCAATAATTGGTGAATTGTCTCCTATATCAACTAATAAAACAAAGTCGGGATTTATTTATCTTAATGCAGGTGGTGTAGATCTGTAGGTTGAAGGCGTCTGAAATAAAATGATAAAATATCGATTTCAAATATGAAAGAAAGTACTATGATAAAATATTTTCACTGTTAAAATAGTGCTCAATACATGAATTGTAAGGTGATGAAAGAAAGTAATTATAAATGAATCTAGATTAAAAAAAAAATAATAAGAATATTTCAGACCAAGTGTTCAAGAACTTTCCTATTGGACTTTAGTCACAGTACTCTATATAAGTATAAGCATCATGCCTTAAAATAAAACAGAAATGATGCTACACTGGGCGATTATTTTCCTTCTGATCACATGAAGCCTTTAATTATGATTTCAGTAGACTTTTATACATTTCATGCATATAGTTTGATAGTTTGCTAAAACAGTGTGATACAAGACGAATATTGATATGCTTGACAGATGTAAGAATGAGATATACAGATATTGTGGTGAGCTTGACGAATAGTTTGTGAATTTACAACTACTGTGAAAGGTTTGACAAATAGTGTGATATTGAACAAAAGTGACACACTGGACAAATACTGTGATAGACTTGAAAGATGGTGTGATACAGGACAAAAGTGTGACAAACATGATGACTTGACAAAAAGTGTGACATACAGGGCAAAAGTGCGACAGACATGACAGATTCTGTGATAGACTTGACAAATAGTGTGATATAGGACTCATTCTTTACATAACTTGTTAAATACAGTACAGATTAGTGAATAACGAATATTTAGTGAATATGAGTGATACAGAGATAAGCTTAGACAAGTGAATAGTTACAAGTTTACTCTTCTCCTTCCTCATACTGGTCATACACAGACTTGAATAAAAATAAAAATTTAGGTCAAACTGCTGTCAAATACAATATAGAACTTGATTTAGTATAGGAAGAAAGAATATTCACAAGTGAGAACAAAACAGAGGTAGAAATTATCATGCAATAGGGTAGGATTAAAGGAAATAGCATTTATTTTGTTTGCAATGTTATGGAAGCACAAGCATATATATTAAGTATTCATAAACAAAAAAGAGGAAGGACTGTTGGGATATATAATACTTTATTTACACAACAGGAAGTAGAATATATAAAGGATCAAGAATTGAATCACAACAATGGACACTGCTAAGGTACTTCACTTACCCTTTACTGTAAAAAAAATACATTTCATTAATATACAGATAAGGAGTACCATAAACGTTTAGGAATATTCTGCAAAATATTTCAATGTCATGAATTATCTAAGCAATTATTCCTCATACATACTGGTGTTTTAACTAGTATTTGAATTAGTGTTTGAACTAGTGTTTGAACTAGTGTTTGAACTAGTATTTGAACTAGTGTTTTATCTAGTATTTGAACTAGTTTTTGAACTAGTTTTTGAACTAGTGTTTTATCTAGTATTTGAACTTGTGTTTGTTTGAACAAGTATTTGAATTAGTGTCTGAACTAGTGTTTGAACTAGTGTTTGAACTAGTATTTGAACTATTGTTTTATATGGTATTTGAACTAGTGTTTTATCTATTATTTGAACTAGTGTTTTATCTATTATTTGAACTAGTGTTTTATCTAGTATTTGAACTAGTTTTTGAGCAAGTGTTTCAAATAAAATCTCAAATTCAGAATAACATTCTGTATAAGAAATATTCTATAAAATGATAATGATTTGCCACTCACAATTGTAGTTCTTGAGGTATGTTTAGAAGTTTCTTTACATTGTAAAATAACATCCAACTCATCTTTCATAATTCCCCATCTTTCTTGCATTCTTTCTTTACGTGAAGCTTGTTGGCTAATTCTGAAAACATTTTTTGCACGTCAACTACTGTTTGTAAATGTTCAATGTTTAATCAAACATTGTAAATCTGTAAGACTATCGGATTGTACTCTGTAACTGAGTTGATATCTTTCAGACAGTCCACACTGCCATTGTTATTGAAAAGATTAGACCTATTTTTTTTCTAGAATTAAGAATTGGAATATTGAAATTTAGTCTATTTATTTATCTTTACATGTTCTTTAAAGGATACATCATTTCACTTCTGATACAACAGTACTAGTTTATCCTAATGACCAACCATGTCGCTTGCAAATTTGTGTACCAAATTGAAGATATACTAATTTTGCTCACATCAAATCAGTGCTTATGGTACTTTTGGTATATTAAGGTGTAGATTAGGAAAATGAATAAATATGAAAAACACAAGGTGTTTCTACAAACCTGAATATAAACAAAAATACAAACCTATATCTGAGTAAAGAGTTAATGCGTTTGTCTAATGTTGGATGAATAACTTCTGTACTTAGTTCTCTTGAGTGTTGCCAGTATGTATCTAATGTTGGGAATGATCTTAACTGATAAATAAATACTGCAGACAAATCAATAAGTCCCCCTTCCTCATTTTTCTCAAAATATGAACCTGGAACATGGTCAAAAAATGGTGACTATTTCTATTGATAATAAATGATAAACCAGTCAAGTAAGGCATTACCACTTAAACTTACTGTCCTAGCTCAATTTTCAAGTTCAATCTGATCATTTGCCTCTGCAGGGAAGTAATCATAGAACTACATATATAGATAAAATCAGATTGCTCAAAGTTGACCTCATTAAAATAATCAATGATAAGCCAATAAGAGTTATCCCCAATTTTAGTTTCAAAGATAGTTAAAGCGGCATACCTTTTACAAACAGCATTTGACCACCAGCACCAAAACAATATATTGGTTCCCATGGTGATGTTAAAGAGTAGGGTTTGGGTAATGTTAACTGACATACACTGTTACCATTGACTACATCTTTCAATATTAAACTACCATCTTTAGATACAACTAACAGCTAAAATAATAATAATTTGCTATTGCTGTATATTATTTTGTCCATCAAACATGAGACATGTTATAAAATATTTCATTATCACTATGTGGCATACTATCTCAATATTTGAGTCACAGTATGACACAATGGTCTTCATAAAGATCAAAATATAATGGTTTAGCCATGTATGTACAGTTAATTAGGCATAAACCAGTGCACATACCTCAATCAAAGACAGACTAAAAACAAATGTTATTGTCATTCTTCAAAAACAAATAATAAGAGAGGAAAGTAAAACTGAACTAAACAGATATAATATATTCTTTATATTTACCAGTTCTGGTACAGCTTTCATTGTCGATAATAAAACTTGAACATCATCATCTTCTTCAGTTCTTAAAAAAAATGTTTCAATTTAATTAATCACAGATATTCAGAGCCCTCATTGTTCGAAAAGTGCATTAATATCTTTAAACATTCATGATGGAAAAATTATCAGCTTTAGATTTACATCTGGTAGTTATGAGGCAACATATCTAGCTTGTGAAGGGTCATTTTATCTTATTTAATATCAACTTCCACAATAATCTGTATATCATTGCCCACAAATGTTCAGACTGTTTTCCACAGGACAATTTTTTATTTGTAAGAAGTTCTAGTGTTTGCAGTAAAAAAAGGAGTAGGGATCGATCCTACTCTTTCACGACAAAATTTTTCGTGTAAATAACTTATCTAATCTGATGCAAGAATTTTGGCAAGCAACGTCAACGTCATATCATGATGACGTATCAGACCAAACAAACCCCAGGCCAACAAATGATTCTGAATAATATCTTTGTTTATATGTTTATAGTTAATATATCAACTTTGATGAATGTTGCTGTTGTGTAGCTGATGGGCAAGAAAACGTCAAAACAGCGATAATGTTGATCTTCGCTGACAGTGAAAATCAAATTTCGCAGAGCGCTTTGATCTTGTGATGAAAAATTTCGCTTCGAGCAAACAAAATCGTCCGGTGTAAAGCTGCCTTAAAAACTTACATGACTTGTAGAGTAACCAGTGTTTGTAAACTAGTATTATATATATACTGACAACCACTAGTAGTTTGTATTAGCAAACAAGCAGTGTTTGTTGTTTTATATGGTGGATAAGATATAGATTCTGTAGCTGATAAGCTGGAGTCCAAAAACTTCAGAAAACTAATAGAACTTTTCTCTTCTATATTAACAATACCCTTTTCAACACCTGAAATTTACCATCACAGAGGCCATACTTACAATAAGTTATTCTTTTCACTACAAATTGTGATGGATTATTATCATTTTTGGGTTTGTAGATCTGAACCAAGGCAAGGATTGTGGCTATAGATTTGCACAAAGGGCAAACAATTTCTCAATGATTTTAATCAAGGAAGCAAAGTCATCACCACTCTCCATACATGTGTAATCTACCGATGTTGTCGGGTTTCTACCGCTTTTGCATGTTGTCTACCGCTCTACCGACGGGACACCCGATTCTACCGATTTTTTGTTTTTTTCCAAATTTTCATGGGACCATGTGCGAGTAGATGCATAATTCTTATGTAAACTCAAACTTCGTTCCATAAAATCGTTTGTAATTTGACTGTAGCCTGTAAACATTATTTATTGTCTGCATAGCGGGTTTACTTATTACAAGTCTTTCCATATATGAAGAGTGTCAAAATGGGAGCGGCATATTCGGTTCAATACTTCGTGAGAGAAAATTATATAATGATCGGACTGGAGATATTTTAGATGTCATGAATTACACCTTTGAAAAAAGTAACATTGCCTGCTTTGTTTTTCAACTTGACAGTAATTTTGATTCGATCAATACTGAAGAATGACAATGTTAATTTTTTCTGTGTCATGTAGGCCTATGATCAATTTAATTAATTGACAAGGCATATAGGCCTAAGGCTTATTTAAAAAGAATCAATTTGTAGTTTCAAATCACAAATTTACCCGCTTTGGAAAAATCTCCCAACTTTTCACCCTATCTCCAGATTTTTCAAGGCAAATCTCCAGATTTTTTTTCTTGACCTGTACACATGTATGCCACTCTCAGTGTTATCTTATGAAAAACTAAGTGAGGAAATGCAAATGATTAGACAAGTGACATCAAAATATTTTGGAAAAATTTTGTGGTGAATATCCAAGCTAAAATATATTCACAACATACCATATTTCATACTCATAGAAAAGGGTAATGTCTGAAACATACCTAAATATCTATCCCACATTACTACAGTACCATTAGATAACCCTATTGCCAGAAAACTACCACATTTGGAAACAGCTGTTGATTTGACTTTATTACAAATTGGCCAAACTAAGTCTGGTTTGAATTCAAAATCTGAAAGAATAACAAGGTATACACAGTTCTTTCAAAGATCAAAAGTTTGAACTTATTGCTGGAGTAGGCAATGTTCTTACTCATGTATAATCTAGGGGTGACAGATAATAATATTACAATACAAAACATGAAATTGGTTTGAAAGGGACAAGTGCAGCATTTCCAGGGGTTAATTTGGACCTTGAATAAATGTAAGTATTCAGAACTACTAAAAACTGTACTAAAATGGCATAATTCCTTTAAATAGACCCCAAACAAGAAATTAAACTTTTTATTTATTTCTCTCTCAAATTTGGGGTATCCAAAAGTTTAACGTCTTGTTGACATAGACACGAAGACATCTTCCGTAGCAGCTGTGCATAGACAAAGGATTATTGAATCTACTGTATACACATGACGTCCGCAACAAATATTCAAAATTTTCGACGGTAAGCCGTGAACATTATTACTGATTAGTTTATCAGAACAATCTATGGCTCTAAGACCAAGGTATTATTTAGTCCTGGAAATGCCACATCTGTCCCTTTAATGTGAAATTTTACAAATTTAAATATATATTTTAAATGCTACTAGACTGTCATATATAGCTATAAGTTTAAAAATAATAACGTAGTATATACCTTTTCCTGTTTTTAATAAAGAATAATGTTTAATATTTGTTTCTCCTGTCCACCATACTATAATATTGGTTGGTTTACCAGTTTGTGATGGTTGTTCTAAACCGAGAGGAGATAATCTACTACTCGGTACAAAATGAAATGTAGGCTGACTGAAAAAATGTACAAATATTATTTTATGTCTTTCATGTCCATGTATGCACTCTTTTGTCACCTTTAAAAGGATATCTCTTTGAAAATAAGGAATGAAATCTATAATATCTTTCAACTTACATTACTTCTGCCTCTTTTTCATCGTCATCTTTCAGATAAGGAAGAAGTTTCTCATTCAAATGATTAAACATGGCATCACGTAGATCTAGATGTGATCCTGATAAAACATGATTTTGTCCTGTACCAATAACTTCACCAGAATCTACTTTCTGACATGCTGATTGTAATGATGTAGTGGTACAAGCTACAATAAAGTTAGATAGATGGAATAATTGATCATTAAAATATTGCGTTTTTAAGATTGTTGATATTCCTGATAATTCTGATATCTATAAAATTAATCTTAGATTTGAAACAAATTGTGCAAGTTGATATCTGTGAAAATATTCTTCAAAAATTCAGGTTTCCTATTCATTAGAAATTTATCATGTCATTTTTCTTTAAATATTGAACAATGAATGATATGTTAGTATATATCTTTATCTAGTATTTAATGTTGGGTACACAGTAGAAAATATAACTGACAATTTCAATGCATTATTATAATCGAAAATAATCATTCACAGCACTGATAATCGATTATTTCAATTATTTTACCAGGCACTAAGCTCATTATAGCATAAATATTTTGTTGGGCTTGGTGATGTCACAAATAATGGATCCATAACAAGTTAATTTAAAACACAAAATCTATAACTGAAATCAGTTTTTTTTATATAAATAAAGATGACAAACCTGTTATAGGAGATGGTGGATGTATCTTTATCACTAAGGATGGTGGTGTAAATTTGGGACTGGGTTTTTCACCTGGAGTTAAAGTTAGTAGAGGTGGAGGTGTCCCTGGTCTAGGTGAGCTACTTCTATTCTAAAAATATTACAAAACAACCATTTAAATAGTCAGTCAGCTAGAGTGTTGTCCATCTCGATCTGCATACCAAGTTGTATATGGAAACACACAATCTAATAAAGATCCTTTCCTATATGTTTCCTATACATGTTTGAAAAACACATGTGTGCTAGAGTGATGAAAAGATATCCTTTCATTATGTTGTTTATTGTGTATAATCAAATAAGAATCTGAAATATAATTGAAACAAAATTGTAGTTCACTTAATTTTCTTCCCAAATAAGATGATTTCTACAATGTTGAGTCTAGATTGGAAAAAGGTTCAACTATAATGTAAGCACTTAAACTTAACAAAGCTCAGGACAACTATATGTGAAATAATATATCTGAATGTCTACTGTATAAATAAAAAAAAATTAAATTTAATCTAGCAGTAGGTATTAAATCAGACTATTAAAATACATGTACTGAACTACAAGATAAACTTTAGATTCTACTTGCAAGATACAAAATTGACAGACTAAAAAAAATATCTATCTTTCCAGAAAAGATAAGCAACATAAGTTACATTACTGAAGTAAAAATATTTGCACTAAGAATGAAGATAAGACAAGGCATTTATTTTTTAATTCACCTCTGTACTATGGGTTAAATGACAGGACTAAACAAATAGCATTATATTAATTAAATGACTAAGATGCATTTTTGTGGTCTGAATTGCTGATGTGAAACCTCCAACATATCTCAATCTGTTTATAATTAAATGACACTTGAGAATCAACAATAATATGGCATTGGACTTTGAATGAATTTCACCAGCAAAGGTTGATTTGATTTGAAAGTCAAACACAATTATTCATTTTGTCCCCTAGAAAATAAGATTATTAATTGATTACGTCTAGATTTGTTGATATTACTACTACTTATGCACTGAAATATGAACAGTTAAAAAATCTATCACCTACTAAAAGTTTAGTTACAAAAAATGCTTACTCGTCCTTTTCTACGTTTCTTAGTTTTTGTTGAAGAATCATCTGGCTACAATAATGAAAGTAGCAAAAACCTTGAATTTGGAAAAGGATTGTCTTTATAATTGTAATATTTTTTCTTGAAATGCAATATTAACATAATCTATGTTGAATATTGGTGTATATTACATTTTGTCAAGAGTTCAGAATTGAAGTTGTAATTGAAAAACTCTATGTTGTGTTATTCTAAGGGACTTACAGGAACAGTTAATAAATTCACCACAGAACTACGCCTCCTTTCTCCAACCTAATGAATAATAATACAAATTAGGCTTAAAACAAGCACTTAACTTAACTCATTAAAAAGTATTTCCACCGTGTCCCAATTATTACTTAACAATGTACTTCATATTTTCAAATAAATTTGATTTAAAAACATTTTTTTTAAAATAGTTATGGGTATTAGGCTAAAAAATGCACTTCTTTCTTCACAAATGATATTATTAAAAAATCTTTTTGTTTGTTTGAAATACTACTAGGTACTAGGTTGAGATGATAGAAATAAGATATTTCGATGTAGCTTACAGTATGAGGTGTTAAAACTTTAACACTGGGTCTCCTCTCACCAACCATCATCTAAATAACATACAATATTATTATAATATACAACAAAATTATTTACTTAAAAAATAAAAATGATCAATAAAGACACAATAAAGTTAACCTGTTTCTCTGTGAAAAGATATGTTCTATAATTACCTGGTTATCAGTACCTTCTACATCTTCTTCTTGTTGCTGTAATATCAAAAGAAAAAAGTTATGTACACAGTTTTCTCGCTAGTAAGCTTAAAAAGTTATAGACCAAATCAGCAAATGGTTCTCTAAATTTAGTGGACATACCACATCCCTCTGTTTTTTTGGGGAAGGGGGGTGGGATTTGATTATCAGCCCTAAAGAGAACTAATCTAGTTTAAGAATGACTAAGAATTTATTATTGAAGTTTGCATTTATATGTACTGTTTTCTTTTATTATTTATTTCATTTTGTGTCCATGGTTTCGAAAGACAGCTGTCACATTAATCAATCAGAATTCTTTGTAAAAACAATTATGATTAAGTTTTATCGATTCTTACAACAAGCTAGAGGTTTGCTTTACATTTATATGGTTATAAAGGGAAGTTATAAACACTATGTACAGTGTCTCAATGCTACAAACCATGAGTATCACAAAATTTCCTAACGACTAGATATCAGTACCGGTACAAGTTGCGGCCTACCTGAGCAGCTGACTGAGCTATAGACTGTAATTCACCTACTACAGTCTCCATTTCACGTAACCAGGTATCTCTTGGTAACCTGTACACTTCTAACCACGTTTCATTTTTAGATGGATCTTAAAAAATACACAAGATTCAACTTTGCTCATATTCAAAAATATATTATGATATCTATTAAAATCAATGTTAAATAGCAAAATATTTCCATACAAAAATAGTAGTTTCACTAAGATAAGTTTATTAAACAAAAAACACAAGATCATTTTGTTACTTTGCCTAAACTTCATTTACAAAAATTCTTGTCCTTATGAAGATTGTATCCAAAACATGAGTTGCAAGTGTGACATGAGCTATAGATAAATGATGTAGACTTAGTAGCAAAACCTTATGTTACTAAGGAGAAATGCTTTTGACCCATTAAATATCTTACTTTCCAGAAATATTCCAACATAATCCCCTTCAGCTGAAGCTTCACATTTTGAAGTAATTATCTTGTTAGTGGCAGATTCCTACAAGACAGAAATATATCAAAAAAATCTAAAAAATAGCCTGTTCAAAAAATGAATTTCAGGATTTTTCAAATTTGAAACTTACAAATCTGTTAAGGGTTCAGTTAAATCAATTCTTGATTAATGGAAGTATAATATATAAGCTTATCTTACCTGTTCATTTAAAACTTTTAACAAGAAAATATGATCCGCTTGAAAAATAAATAACTTGGCAACACCTATATATAAAGATCACGTATTTAATTCACAATACAGAAAGACTAAAATTGCATTTTGCTTCATATCAAGTTCATTCCTACAGAAATTAGCATTTGCAATTTAAAATTTGTCATTATGACTTCTAAAAGTCATCTTCTGTGGGGATTAACAGGGAACAAAATCATAGATTACATGTTTTTACATGCACATAATGCATTTTTATATTTATTATCATAATTTGAGCCAAACACTTCTTTTCATAAAAAAAAAATCTACAAATATTAAAACCAAAATTTAATTCAAATCAAAGAAACAAACCTAATTCATCAATTGTAACAAGTAAATAAGTTTGAACACCAATAAGATGACATTTGATGTGAACAACATCCACCTTCTCTTCCTCCCATACTGTAACAATTGATTGTTGCAAGGCATCTAGAACAATTATACCATTAGACGTACCAAAAAAGACATATCTACCATCCACACTATCTGATAACCCTGTTGCATTATATTCTTTCTGTCAAAAACATATCAAAATAGTCATATTAAATTTATTCAAGATGTGTCCAGGTGTATGAAATTCGACTCATATTCAGAACAGTTAAAACACTTGAATTTCCAATATTCAAATTTCAAAATTCATTCATCAAAAGGCTGACATAATTTTGGCAGATTTTTACTGATCCACCAATGGCACAGAACTGAAAAAGGCATAAAGCTACAAGAGAGCTAAAAATTCTTTAACAAGCTATATTTATAAGGTAACAGTCTGCAATCATCACATGAACCAATTTATTCTCTTTAAGTAAGTTTAAGTCGATCTCGGACAGCAGGAAACACGCTCAGAACAAGTTGGGCTTCATTGCCACCATTATTGTAAGACTTAATCTTATGTCCTATAGTTATCTCATCTGTTCTTGACTAGATCTTTATAACAGTCTTGAATACAGAGAGAACACGGAAATTTGCAATAGAAAATGTTAATTTTTTTTTTACTATATAATATAATATAGGCCTAGTTTCTTCTTCCTACCTCTAAATTCAATTTGACCGAACAATCATAACTTGGTGGTCTAACTCTATTCAATTCCTTAAATTTCTTTTCCTCAACTTTAGATATGTACGTCCATGCTTTTTCAACAACATTATCAATTATTTTATTTATCAACCTGTATGGCTGTGGCAGCTTATCACGTAACAAATCGGGATCTGCAGTAAAATCGTCTTCAATATCAATGTCCGTGATATTCTCCAATGAAGGGGGAGAAAATGAAATATTCTTTCTTAAATAGACCGGCATTTTGTCAGTTTGTTCGACAGTGCTGGGAACGTTTCAAAGAACAAGGTGATAGACATATATCAAATAAAACATTTTCTGTAAGGATAAACCGTAACTAAGTCCTCCATTTTGAAACAAATCCAATCTGACCTTCACCTTAGTCTGAGATTTAATAAAATTGCATTCAGATCTAATTTAACAAAACGAATTTGTTTCATTGTCATAAAAATAACAATATGGATGCACGAGATGGGAAGGATTAATATTTTGATACCTAAACAATCCAACTGTTATTTGGCAATTTCCTTTTTAATCAACATTTCAGGCGATTTTGTTTAAAAATTTCTGAAAGTGTAATGCGACCTTCACCTTCGTCTATACAAGGGAGGTAATTAACAATTCGATACCCAGTCTTTTCCTCGAAACAAAAATATTTTTAGAACTTTCAATTAATAACTTGTAATAGGTCCAATTGACAGAGCAAAGTCCATTTCAATTCATTTTAGAAATGGCTGCAGATTTCTTCACAGGTGTTGTCAAGTTTAACGCACAGACTGCTGGCAGAGATAAATTATGCAGGTAGGCATACTGTCATTTGTGTGAATGAACCAGAGTAGTCCTATTATAGCCTACTCTATGACTATAATGAAATTGGTGGTGTAATATTATCGTATCAGGATTACACAACATAAGAAAATCTCTTACTTTTGTTAGCATATTTGATTATGTTTTACTGATTTTTATGTGTGAATTCGAATATCAATGATATTTTTATGCTTAAATCACCCAGGCCTACCTACACACAATTTCCTCAAATTTGGAGGAGTACATGAACATGAATTGTATATGAAATTTCATTTTTGGAAATACTACTAAACCAAATCCAAATTATTCCCAAAATAGTTAATATTTCATATTTTCATAAATATATTTGAAAAAGAAAACATATCTTTTCTATTAGTTTGTTTGAAGCAGATGTTAACTTGTAATCTAATAATCAATCATCATTTTGAAATGTTAGTTTTTCTTACGAGTAGTATTAACTTACAGAGGACATTAGCTGACTTGAAAGTGAATAACTAGTCACAAGCAAAATCCAGAATATTCTAGAATCTCATTTTTTTTTATTTACTTTCCCATTTATTTTTACTAATCTTTCTTTTTTCTTTAGATTGTGTCAGTATGGTTCCAAATTTGTCTGGTGGAATTTACAAAAGACTGGTCAGAGTGAAGAATTAGTGAAGAAATTGAAAAATTTAGAAGCATCAGTATCCACCACAAGAAAATGTATGATTCTAAACAATTAAAATACTCTCAGATTAAAGCTTTGCGACATATTTTAAAGCAAAACAACTCTCATGATGATTGATAAGAACAGAGGAAGAAATTTCCTGAAGTACACCCTCAATCTGATGTGTACCACCCGACCTTTTTTCACTCGAAAAGAGCTCATCAGGAACAAACCCAATGTGAGATTCAAAAGTTGTGTTAAGTACTGGTCATGAAGATACCAAGAGACTACAATATCTAGGATGCTGTCACTGGTTAAACTTACTTATATAATAATTTTTTATTTTTTTCTATTCTAGTACTCCGTTTTGGTAAAAGTATTGACTTCATTCAAGCAGCCTTGAAAAGTATCCATATTTCTAACACAGTTTGGAAATTAACAATAACACTATCTAAAATTAATCAAGCCTGTTATCTTCTATTTGATCATATAATATATGCTGGAAGGATTGGGGTAGCCAATGTTGATGCAAGAAAATGGAAAGATCTCTCAGCAAGATTTTGGTTAGTTAGTCTGATATTGAATTTAGTTCGAGATTTTTATGACATTTATCATATATTTTTACATGAGGTGAAGTTGCGAAATTCAAAACTCAACAAAAGTTTATATATGAATGGTGATTCCGACCACAAAGATAAACAAAAGAAAATATTAAAGAACTCTGAATTGATGCAGAAATGTGTTTTAGAGAATAAAGCAGTTTGCTTAGATTTAGTGAAGAATACCTGTGATATTTTACTGCCATTAAACTCTTTAAGTAAAATATCTATAAGTCCTGGTACTCAGGGTCTTGTGGGAGCTATTTCTTCCATTATAGGAATTGCTGCTACTTGGAATCCATTATTAAGACTGGTTCCTTCCTAGTGTCTATGTTTAAATGATTTTACACATTTTAAATTTTCAGATGAGCAAATTTTGTTGTTGTTTTCTGAATTACTAATTTGATATACAGCTTCATTGATCAATAACATTTATCTTGTATCATCAATATTCAATTAATTTCATATAAATTACATGTATTATTTGTGGGTGTATGAAAATGAAGAAATACATCAATCAGCTATTGTATTCTAAAATCCTATTTCATATAATAATGGTCAGGTATGTTAACACACCAAAATTTTGTACAAATATTTATACACTATGATTAGAAATTGTTATACATGTCTTGTTAATTTTTATTGATCAATAAATTTTTCAAACACATAATGACACAACTGTTAGTTTGGCAAAATCATACATATATACCACTGATTTATCTTTCATTACCACATTTCTATCTAGAAACAAAAAATTAACTAAAACTTTTGCCTTTTAAATGATTCATTTCTTTTGCGTATTCCAAGTTTTCGTAATTTATTCCAATATTCTCTTGAATTAGGGTCTAATTCATCCAATGGAATAGGTTTTGGATCTGTTCGTAAAGTCCACAACCAATCAGGATATTCACTGTCTGGTTTAAGATCTGGATCTGTGCCATCCACATATATATTAGCTCCACAACATTTTGTCACAAGAATTTTAGGATCTGTTTCTACTTCTAAAATTACTTTCTTCATCTGTGATCCAGATTTCCCTAAAACACAAGTTCAAATTTGATTCAAAATATTCTGTTTTAGACAAAATTTTTAATTTAGTTTATTTCATAATAAACAATGTCAATAACAATTTAATGGATAACATCCAGAAAATTCAGTTGTATCGTAATTTTAAGGGATTTTTGTTTATATAGTCAGTGATTCAAAACCTTACACATAATTGAAATCATTATGCAAAGTGTGTTAGTCATATGCATGGTGTGTTACTGATTTCACACATTCCTCAATAGATCAAATTTTATTATTACCTTGAGTTTTAATTTCATAACAATACTGATACCAGCAGTGATTGTCTTAGATTGACCTATATCATTTGTAGATTTTACTCACAGTGCTTATATGAAGCTGATATTCACTTCTCACAAAATTAATCAGTAAAATTCAATTTGTGCATGTCAACTTCTTGATTAGGTTATTTATGGAATATTTCTGCTTAAAATATGTGTATGATGTAGGGGGTTACAGTCTACTTGGCCCCTTACCAAAATAACCGCAAAAATCAAAGATAGCTTGCCAGGCAAGGTAACATACATCCACCACCAGCTGTCAGAAATGATAACAAAACTTTAGTGGCTTAATAATGAATTTTCAAATAATCTTAAAATCATAAGTCAAGGCAAAACCTGAAACAGTTCATCAAATTATCATCAAATTCAAACATGAACTATGTCTCATCGGCCCCGCTATAATATATACATGCACATCTAGTTTCATCAAGATTGGATAAAAACTGTAGTCTCTATTGTGCCTGCAAGCCAAATTTGTCCCGTTTTTTCTAAGTCAAGGGCAATAACTCTGGAACCAGTGATCCAATTATTACAAAATTCAAACTTGACCAAGATCTCATCAATATATACATGCATACATAGTTTCATCTAGGTTGGATAAAAACTGTAGTGTCTATCATGCCTACAAGCCAAATTTGACGCGTTTTTACTAAGTTATGGTAAGGGCAATAACTCTGAAACCAGTAATCCAATTATTACCAATTTGGAACTTGACTGAGATCTCATCAATATATACATGCATACCAAGTTTCATCAAGATCAGATAAAAACTGTATTCTCTTTCATGCCAAAAAGCCAAATTTGACGCATTTTTACTATGTCAAGGGTAATAACTTTGCAACCGGTCATCCAGATGAGATCAAGTCCAGTTCGAAATTGGTGATCTGATGAACTGTTTCAGGGTTATTGCCTTTGATTTAGTAAAATATGCGTCATATTTGCCTTGAAAAGTAGTCCGAGTTTGTAATAACATATTTTCTCAAATGAATAATGGTTCGAGTGTGCATCGGTCCGAATTTGTTTTGGTCGGAGTTGTCCTGATTCTGATAAAATTTAAAAAAAAAACGAAAAAAAAAAACACATCATACCCCCAAAAAATTTCAAAATTACCCCACTATCTGGTATAAGAAAGAAAATTTGCCTTACCAGAGGCTCCTGCCTTTTTCACTGGTTTAGCCCTTAGAACTGAGGATGCATGAAAAGTCTTTGATTGTGAGCATGTGTGCACATTTACAATTTTAGATAAATGAAAAAATCGGGAAGCCATTATAGACATAGAAAACTTAGCAAGGCTGTTATAATAAACGCAACGAAAGTATAAAATAATTAGCCAGGAAATGTACTAAAATACTCTAGTAACACAGATAAATTGGGTCTAAGCCTATATATAATGGCCCAAAACCCTTTTTAGCTTTGCTATATTTATATTTTTCAACTAGATAATCACTCATGGAATTCTATAAAATCTTTCATTTCATCGCATGCATGATTATTTGGTTCGCAATTTTGATAATCCAAGATGGCTCCAATTGTTTCTCCGTCACACGTCAGTACGTCAGTAAACACGTCAAACACGTCACACGTCGATGCTACCTTATAAAATCAAGAATCATATTATTTTTAATCACAAAACGAAATAAAAACGATATTTTGAAAATGGACACGTCAATGATACCTTACAAAATACAGCATTTCAATATATTTCAACGAAAAACGAAAGATCATTTAGAAAATTCTGTTATGAAAATAAACACGTCGGTAAACACGTCAAAACAGTAGGAATTGCCAATATTGTTCGTTCTTTACAGAGTTTTTGTAAAAAACGCATGAACAAAAGGAACTTTCTCAAAGGGCTGCTTTTTTTTCGAAAACTCAAGATCTGTGTGGCATCGGGTATTCTAGAAAGGTTAAGTGTGCGTCAATACATTTGGGCCGAAATTTCATCACACGGTCGGAACATCAAAACTTCCGTCAGTAAACAAGTCAAAGAACTGGTCTTCGTCACACGTCAATACGTCAGTAAACACGTCAGACGCGTCAAAGAAATGAAAACACGCCAGACGCGTCAAAGAACTGTTATCCTCACAAGTCAGTCCGTCAGTAAAGGAAAGTTAATCAAACTATGTGAACTCTCTTAAAATACCACATTCTTGACAGACTCAATCGCAAAGTAGCCTCAGGTGTTCCAGAAAGTGTAAGTATGCCTTAAAACGTTTAGGTCGAGTTTTAAACACATTCCAGTAGGTTAAGACTCAAAACCGTCAGTAAACACGTCAAAGAACTGGTCTTCGTCAATACGTCAGTACACACGTCAGACGCGTCAAAGAAATGAAAACACGCCAGACGCGTCAAAGAACTGTTATACTTCAGTCAGTCAGTCAAGAAAAGTTTTTAAAACTATTTGAACTCTCTTAAAACAACTGCCTTAATTGTTGACAGACTCAATCGCAATGTGACCTCAGGTGTTCCAGAAAGTATAAGTATGCCTTACAACGTTTAGGTCGAGTTTTATACACACCTCAGTAGGTAAAAACATCAGTACGTCAGTAGACAAGTCCAAGAACTGGTCTTCGTCACACGTCAATACGTCAGTACACACGTCAGATGCGTCAAAGAAATGAAAACACGTCAGACGCGTCAAAGAACTGTTATTCATTACAAGTCAGTCCGTCAGTAAAGAAAAGTTAATCAAACTATGTGAACTCTCTTAACATACCACATTTTAGACAGACTCAATCGCAAAGTGGCCTCAGGTGTTCCAGAAAGTGTAAACATGCCTTAAAACGCTTAGGTCGAGTTTTAAACATACCTCATTAGGTAAAAACTTCAATCCGTCAGTAAACACGTCAAAGAACTGGTCTTTGTCACACGTCAATACGTCAGTACACACGTCAGACGCGTCAAAGAAATGAAGACACGTCAGACGCGACAAAGAACTGTTATTCATTACAAGTCAGTCCGTCAGTAAAGAAAAGTTAATCAAACTATGTGAACTCTCTTAAAATACCACATTTTTGACAAACTCAATCGCAAAGTGGCCTCAGGTGTTCCAGAAAGTGTAAGCATGCCTTAAAACATGTCGGTCGAGTTTTAAAAACAACTCAGTAGGTAAAAACATCCGTACGTCAGTAAACAAGTCTCAGAACTGGTCTTCGTCACACGTCAATACGTCAATACGTCAGTACACACGTCAGACGCGTCAAAGAGATGAAAACACGTCAGACGCGTCAAAGAACTGTTATTCCACACAAGTCAGTCCGTCAGTAAAGAAAAGTTAATCAAACTATGTGAACTCTCTTAAAATACCACATTTTTGACAGACTCAATCGCAAAGTGGCCTCAGGTGTTCCAGAAAATGTAAGTATTCCTTAAAACGTTTAGGTCGAGTTTTAAACACATTTCAGTAGGTTAAGACTCAAATCCGTCAGTAAACACGTCAAAGAACTGGTCTTCGTCACACGTCAATTCGACAGTACACACGTCAGACGCGTCAAAGAAATGAAAACACGTCAGACGCGTCAAAGAACTGTTATTCATTACAAGTCAGTCCGTCAGTAAAGAAAAGTTAATCAAACTATGTGAACTCTCTTAAAATACCACGTTTTTGACAGACTCAATCGCAAAGTGGCCTCAGGTGTTCCAAAAAGTATAAACATGCCTTAAAACGTGTAGGTCGAGTTATAAACACACCTCAGTAGGTAAAAACATCAGTACGTCAGTAAACACGTCAAAGAACTGGTCTTCGTCACACGCCAATACGTCAGTACACACGTCAGACGCGTCAAAGAAATGAAAACACGTCAGACGCGTCAAAGAGCTGTTATCCCTCTCAAGTCATTCCGTCAGTAAAGAAAAGTTAATCAAACTATGTGAACTCTCTTAAAATACCACATTTTTGACAGACTCAATCGCAAAGTGACCTCAGGTGTTCCAGAAAGTATAAGTATGCCTTAAAACGTTTAGGTCGAGTTTTAAACACACCTCAGTAGGTAAAAAAAAACATCTGTACGTTAGTAAACAAGTCAAAGAACTGGTCTTCGTCACACGTCAATACGTCAGTACACACGTCAGACGCGTCAAAGAGATGAAAACACGTCAGACGCGTCAAAGAACTGTTATTCCTCACAAGTCAGTCCGTCAGTAAAGAAAAGTTAATCAAACTATGTGAACTCTCTTAAATACCACATTTTTGACAGACTCAATCGCAAATTGGCCTCAGGTGTTCAAGAAGGTTTAAGCATGCCTTTATACGTTTAGTTTGAGTATTCATCACACTTCAGTAGTAGAACTAGCCAACAAAATTAACTTTTTTGAAGATTGTGGGTATTCTGAATGTCATAAAGTAATAAAGGTAATACATGTTTTAAGTTAAGCACAGTAATTAGGACTTTGATGTTTGTCGGCATAATGACATATAAGGATTTGTACAAGGGCAATTAAATAACTCATGAAGATAGATTCGTAATTTCAAACCTTAGACCTAGGATAACAGGAAAATAATTAATAATACTTAATACTTAATACTAAACAATTAATATTAACTAATTAAACAGTCTGTTAATAAATTAGTGTGATGGATTAACGGTAGATGGACAAAAGCCCCTACAAAATTTTGCTCTACAAAAGCCCCTAAGGAAAAAACCCCTATTACCTAGGACAAAAGCCCCTACAAAAAAATCAAATTATTTAAAACTT